AGATGCAAAAGATGAGAATATCCTCACCAGATCTCATTTAGATTCCAAGGCAGACACACATGTGGAGGCTCAATTTTGCATTCATTGTATATTTTGACGGCTGCACATTGCGTTGAAGGAAGGTAAGAAAATAAAATTGCACCGACACGAAAATTTATTCCTTCACAATGTGTTATGATTTATAATTTTTTCTCCAGGGATGATGATGTCACTAAATTTACCGTCGTTGCTGGTTCGGTATCGCTTACGAAAGGAGGTGAAGTACATCAAGTAGACAAGATTACTTATCATGACAAATATAGTCCAGAGACAATGCACAACGATATTGCAGTAATCAAGGTGATTTTATAAACACAACGTCACCACGAGATGTAGAATTGATTACTGACAACTAAATTCAGCTAAATTGCTTCGTCTTTAATCAATTACAAAACATTTAACGACTTCATCCAAGCAGCTCATTAAATCAAATATTGTCAAATAGAACTACGTCAACATCCAGTTTTCAAAAAGTTGATATATATTATCTCCTATGATTTCCTAACATTATTATTTTCTTTTAACCCTTTCAACTCGCGAATTGCGGAACTAATACGTATTTTCACAGCGGCATCCGAGTGGAAAGGGTTATTATAAGATTAAGTAAAATAAAATCCATTATTTTTGCATGAAATTGAAAGCTTCAATTGCCATAGTTGAAATACTTCAATTTGGGTAAAATATGCATAGTTTTGTTCAATGATTTCTTGCCAATTTGAAGGTAATATCATTATTCCTCTCCCATAGAAGCCCTCGTCCCTATTGTGACAAAATGGAGAAAGTCGTTTTTCACAAAACTTATTTTATTTATTAATTTAGAATATTTGTAAATTTAACTATATGAATATTTATCTTTCAGCTAAAAACACCAATTACTTTCGATAACAACAAAAAAACAATAGCGCTCCCTAAGGAAGACACCATCGGAGGAGAAACTGTGCAACTATCTGGCTGGGGCTTGACTGCGGTAATTACTTTTTTATTATAAAAAATTAAAATTGAAAATATTGCTTCACTGTCATTGTTTAACTTAGGCTTCAAATCTGTAGCATAACAGACAAATGTTATGGCAATGCCATGTTACGCTCAAACTTCCATACATTATGCTACTGTATCATACTGAATACTGTCAAATGTCATGTATTTGCTGCGCATTATGCGTTTTACACATAAACTGCATCGTCACTCGTATGTTATGAAGCTGAGTCAGAAAGACCCTGTTATCTAACATTGTTTTTTTGACATTTGTGCGGTTTTGTAAATTATGTTTTCTATCTGACCTGAGAAAATCGCCTGACTGCACAGTAGCCGCATGGCATTTGTCAATATTTAGAACGAATTTGTATGGAAAGTTCTTCATAACATATCCTTGCCATAACATTTGCCTGTTATGCGGCAGAATCGGTCCCTTATTCTGGTATCCCAGTCAATAAGTAGGTTAAGTAAATTTTCACTTTTTTGCAAGGCAAAAAAATGTCTTAAGTCGCAGTGTTAACTGTTTTTTTTTTTTTTTGAAAATAAGCAATAAGCATTCAACAATTATCGGCGGAAAATAAACATTAATAAAATACTTCATATTAAATTCAATCGGTATTTTTAAATAGGGATTTAACATGAGTATTTAAACTTTTGCCAAACTTTTTTGTTATAGCCTTGCAACAAAATAGTAAAAACTGACGACTTGACCAATAAATATATGATAGTTAAATAATAACAATAAACTATTATTTTGAATAAAAATATAGTTAATAAGTCAAAGTAAAGTTCTGGATTATAAATAAAAATATAATAACAAAATTTACCATGATTTCTGAAAATATCTTTATTTTCGACAATATCTCCACATGAGTGTTTTAAAAAATCGTATGTATTAATTCTAGTACCCTGATGGCGAAATTCCGGATATTTTGAAGAAAATGATGGCTATTACATACGAAAACAGCATTTGTGAAAAATTCCATGAGAACGGGCCACTTAAGTCAAAAGCTTCAGGAGATATAATCAAACCAGGAATGTTGTGCGCTTATCATAAGCTCAACATTGGTGCATGCAGGGTAATTATTATTTTATTAATAAAGAATTTTAATAGATGCTAGAAACTATTCAGTATTTTTGTTTCGAATTAATTTGAATTTTAAAATGAATTCATTTTCAATAATATTTTCTATCATTTTTAGGGTGATTCTGGTGGTCCTCTTGTTGCCGAAGAAAATGGAAAATTGGTTCAAGTAGGAGTTGTATCCTGGGCTTGGCAATATTGTGCTTTGGGAGTACCAGATGTATATGCCCGAGTATACTATTATTTGGATTGGATCCATCAACATACTGATAATGTTCTATTGAACAACTCAGAATAAATTAATTGAAAAAATAGCAAAATTTATCATATTGACATATTTATAAGATTCAGTTAACTGCAATGTGAATAAAAACCATAGATAGATAGATAAAGCATAGAATGCTGTTCCTTTGTATGACAAACTGACAAGTTGATTTTAATCACTACCAAACTATTTTTGTGTATTCTATGATAAAATATTCTATAAAACTATTCCTACTAATTTATGTTATAGATGAAGTGATGACATAAGTCAATCAACATATGTGATATTTACAAGTATATTTAAGTTAAAACCATTAAATTCAGTATTACGTTAAATAAATGCAAAAAATATACAATTTGTTTTATTACTAATAGAATGATATGTGAATATTATGTTTGGATTTCTTATATTAAAAAATAAGAAACATTTTTAGTGATAACATTATGATTTGCAAATTTTTAATGAAGTATTAGTAAAAAAAACTTGAATCTTTTATAAAACTATCAAGTACTTTACCATTTTGATAGAACTTGTCAACAAACTTTAGTGCACTTTTTTTAAGGAGTATTTATCAAAGTCAACCAGTTTTCAAAAGACGCTATTTTTACAATAAGTCACTATTTTTCAATGTGATTCAAAGCTTAAACAAATAAAATTTTTGAAAATCATTCGGAATAACCAAAAAAAGGATCAAAACTGACCAAAGCTTTGGGTTGCACTTAAAAGCTCATAATTTTCAATCTATATGGAATTTTTTTTTGTCCATTTTTTTCATGATAGTTATGATTGGCTTAACGTTGAGTTCTGGGACACCCTGTATATATATTAACTACATATTCACTATTTGTCTGTAATGCTCTCTAAAAAAATCATATAGGCAAAATAAGTGATAAAATATATTTAACCCTTTCCACTCGGCTCCGGTCCGACGACAAAATAGTGTTAATTTTGGAATTCTCGAGTAAAAATATAGAAATATATTTATAGAGATATCGAAATAGTTAAATAGTTATTAAAATTTGTTGATAAAGTTATTATAGATCAATAATTTAAAACGATTTAAAAAAATCTAACAAGATGTTATCAAATACACATTTTTATTAAGGTAATGATTATGCAAAATCTTGTATTTTGTTGAAGCAATATTCGACACGTGTCATTGATAAGATTATATACATCGATTGTTAGTATTTCTCTGATTTATTCTATTTTAAATGTGTTTGTAATTTTAGTAAAATACTATTCCTATACTAAAAAGTATTTGAAGTTTCAGGGTTTACAAATGCCAATATTTCGATCATCTGTTTACTATAGACATAAATTATATTTGAAGTTTCAAATTAAATGAAAGAATAATCATATGCTCAATGTAAAAAAATATTTAAAATTTATGGCAAAGTATTTTAATGGATTATTGTGTATTTTTATTTTTCAGAAAGCGTTCAAAAATTTATGTGTATGAAACTTTTACCCTTTGCATTGGTGTTGCATTTAATGAGGTCCCAAAGACCCAACATTAATAAATCCTTTTATTTGCGAATTTCAAGAAAAAGAATTTCAACTGCACCAGGATTCGAAAGAAAATAGTATTAAGTGAAATATTTAGAAGTACCCCCATTAAATTAAAAATGTCATTCTTGAATTCTTCGCAATTTTATTTACAAATAAACAATTTATAAACAAATAAACTCCAATAAAAATTCAGTTCGGACTTGGAAAGTCCGCTTGATACGAATCTTTATTAAATCAAATCTTATCACTTTTGTTATCATTAATTATTGGAAAGATTAACGGATTAAAAAATGGAACACCAAAAAATTCTGTATCAGATAAATATGGTATAAAACTCAAAGATATAGAAATATTTTCATCACTGTGTCAAGATGTTGCGTTTGGCAGTTATCGTTTCTGTATTGTGCCTTGTCTCAGGTAAGTTTTGTTGACTTAAAAATTATTCGAATTAAATTGATAAAAGGATAGAAATTCAGTTATTGATTACATTACAAGAATGTGGAAAATTGAAGTAACAAATTTTACTCATACTTTATATGAACAAAATAATTATTTGTAGTTATAGTAAATAAGGGTCACCAATTAAATTCAATTTTTCAAAGATAATTATAATTTTACTATTTGGTCCGAAATATCTATTTATATAATGAAATTTATAAACTTGTAATGTGAACAATAATTTCTGATTTTTTGCATTTTCAATTCGTTCAGTTTAATAAAATATATCAAGATCGATACAGTTTAAAATTAGACTTTTTTTTAATACATATACAAAGTGAATTTAATAGAGTACAAAAGTAATATTCGTTAAATTCCTAGTAGTTGATTGCCTTCATTAATTTTCGCTGATAACTATATATTAAATATATTATTGCACATGGGATCAAAAATTAGGTTGGATCAAACTATTTTGATATTGAGGCATTTTTCAATTTTCGTTTTATCAGTAATTTCAAATAAATTCGCCAAAGAAACAGTAGCTCCAAAGTAAATTTCGAGCCAGCGAAACTTTCATTAAAGGATTTTCATGAAAAACTTGAATATTCAAGAAAAGTACAAAGAAATTCACAGGGAATTCTAAAACACTACGAGCTACCTTGGTGGTAACAATTTTTGTAAAAAAAATGGCAGAAATAGATATTTGCCAAGATTTTTCTGTAAAATATATTATTGAAATTGAAGAAAAAACTGCATTGTAAATTTTTCCTTCAGCAAAGTTTCTTGAAATGACCCAAAAAAACAGGATCGAGATGTACTCAATTTGCATATGAATATTTACATTAATATACCAGATCAAGGTTATATACAGTGTGTTCTTTGTAAAAACGTGTCATTAAAATTTATTTTTTGCATTAGTTGGATAATGTAGTTTTTATTTCGTAATATCTCTTTGAAATTAAAAAAAAGACATTGGCTCCATGAAAAATGATAAATTTTTAGAAAAATTGTAAAAACCACATTTCTGATATAGTTAATTCCTAATATAATAGGAAATAACTGGGAATTTTACTAAATATAGTTCGATAGTTGTTTGGGTTTGGATATATATCTGGTCATCAAGATTAATTTTGCAGGAAAATATTTATCTAATTGGTGATGTTGAAACTCAAATTATCAGTAATAAATTGCCATCAAAATTACAAGTGCTACAAGTGTTTTCATTAAGTGTCGTAATATTTGATTTCACGAATACTATCACAGATGGCGCAAGAATTCACTTAATGACATACGTTAATAACAAATATAAGAAACTTTTAATTGGAATGCGCTCTACCTAAATGTTAATATTAAGAGCAAAAATTATTAGAGATTCATTTTTTTAAAATTTGGAAGCATTGGCGACCTTGGCAGCAAAGAAATGTCCGTGTTAAGGACCACTCTAATATATATATTTCATTCATTTAGGGGCTTCTCTGGAGAGTCGTATCATCGGTGGTGATGATGCCAAACTTGGTGAATTTCCTCACCAGATTTCCTTAAGATTCAATGGAAAACACACTTGTGGTGGTTCTATCATTCATGAATCGTACATTCTGACTGCAGCTCATTGCGTATATGGCAGGTATGATGAAAATTGAAATGATATGTGAATATTAAATTGGTAATTCCAAATCCAATTTAATCTAATTTATCAGCAATGCCAAATCCAGAAATTGAGAAACATAATAAAGCACTTTTGTCTATAGGAAAGGCAAAGTGGAATATATTAGACAAGAATTGAATTATTTGCAAAATTAACTTCTTTAAAAAATCGGATGTTTCCTATCAACTTTGTTTGTTATTGCACGTTTATTAGTGGTTGAAATTTTTCTACGTAGCTGATTAATTTACTAGATCCACTTTTTTACTGCTCTACTAATTATTACTATTAATTATTACATTTATTATATTATTGATAACTATATTTATATTTATCTCAGAGCAACTCCATCACTGTTCACCGTTGTGTCAGGCGCACTTTACTTAACTGAAGGTGGAGAACATCATGCTGTTGCTTCCATCAAATATCACGAAAAGTACAGCCCAAACACTTTGGATAATGATGTGGCAGTTTTGAAGGTACAGTATAATAAAACTGTTAAAAAAATTATTTGGAAATGGTATGTTTTAACCTATATGTAAAAGTAATGAACAAAAATGAATTTTACAAAAGAAATTCCTTTGGAGATTGAGATTGAGGGACCGATTCTGCCGAATAACAGACCAATGTTATGGCAAGGCCATGTTACGCTTCGACTTGCATTCATTATGCTACCGAATTATTACCTAAATACTGTCAACATATCATGTATTTGCTGTGCATTCAGGCGTTTTACACATAAACTGCAACGTCACTTGTATGTTATGAAGCTGGGTCAGAAGGTCCTTGTTATCTAAGATCGTTTTTTTGGCATTTGTGCGGTTTCTAAGTTAGGTTTTTTATCTGTCAACCTGAGAAAAACACCTGACTGCACAGCAACCAAATGGCTTTTGATAATATTTAGAACGATTTTGTAAGAAAAGTTCTACATAACATAGCCTTGCCATAACATTGGTCTGTTGTACTACAGAATCAAGCCCTGACTATTATAAGGATATTTGAGTGTTGTCTTTGTGTTAAGACCAATAATATTGATATTCAAAATGTTATTTTGAAGTACAAAAATAAAACCTTGTTTTCTCTATTTTAGTTGAAAAAGCCATTGACTTTTAATGCTAACCAGAAACCAGTCGCCTTGGCCTCAAAGGATACACCTGGGGATCTCAAATGCAAATTCTCTGGCTGGGGATTAGACGCAGTAAGTTTTTTTTGAAAAAAAAAAAACAATATTAATTTTTAAAAGTAATCAGACCTAAAGAAAGCTTAGCGTGCCATTCTGATCAACTAACTTAAAACCTCTTGGTTGATAACTTTCCAAAAAAAACTTTGAAAAACATACCCCTTACAATCATGGTAAATACAGAACTATTCGAGAAGGGCAAGTTATAGCAATCCACCAAAAATCAAAAATGAAAATTTTTGCATATCATTGCGTTTTAGAGGTTTCTGAACATTTTGGCATACCTTAGAAAAAATGTGTATATATGAATTTTTTTGTTGAAGTTTCATGGAGCACTGCTCAACCAATTTAAAAGCTTCAAAAAACATTCGATTCCTATTGATATGGAGACATGCTGGTTTTGTTTACAGAGCAAAAAAAAACGAAAAATTACAGATATTGCAAAAAAGGAGCATCCGATTCGAATGATTTGCTTGTCGTAAGTGTGAAAAAATTATTAGTTTTTGGAAAAGGCCAAACTTTTTTTTCAAAATTAAAAAAAAAATATTTTAAATATCGAAAATGATTCGAATTTTAATTTTAATTCTAGTTAAAATTCTAAAGCTGAACTATATTCTTGAAATAAATAATTTTAACTTCACATTTTACTTTATATAATTCCTAGAGAGAGAAAATTTATCATTCTAACTCCGCTTGATTGAGATTTGTTTATAAACTTTTCAATAAGCTCTTATATTTTGTTTATAAAATACGAATGATAAAAGTTACAGTATTTATGATAATCTATTTGAAAATTCCTAGAATATTTCATAACGCTAAGAAAAATTCCAGCAATTTGCCTTAAAGGACGATGCCATGCCCAATTACTTTTCACATCTATTGTTAATTTTTTATATAGAAGCTTACTCTACTAGTTTATTGTTCTTAGTCGTATTCTCATTTTCAAAGTACAAATATTTCTCGTAAAACATACTCAATTGCATTTATTTGCAAGTTGCTACTTTAAAAAAACTTGTAAATTACTTAGTAATAAAATTTAAAGAAAGGGAGACACAGTTTACAACAAATATTCTTCATATTAATTTATAATTCTGATTACGATTTTAAATAAATATCCAAAATCCCAAACAACTTGATCAGGACATTTTGCTATTACACCAAAAATTCTATATTTTTTGGCAAATTATCATATGTAATAATATTTTTCTCACGATTATAATATTGATTTTTATTGACTGCAGTATCCAAGTGATGTTTTACCAAATCATTTACAAAAAATGGACGTTCTGACCTACAATAATGCTGATTGCCAAAAATTCCATAATGCTGGACCTAAATCTAACACAATCTACCCAGGAATGTTGTGCGGATTCAACAAACTTAATGTCGGTGCTTGCAGGGTAAGATAAATGATAGTTATTATTTGAAAAACAATTGCAAAATTAGAATAATTTCATAAAAAAATATGAAGTCAATTTCATCATTTCTTAATAAACAATAAATTTCTAGTTTGTATTAAGGAAAAATGTAATTTAAATCATAATTATACTGAAAGTAAAATGAAATCCAGCCTGATAAATCAGCCATACGACAAACATACTTTTTTTTAATTGTTATAAATTGTAAAAGTAAGATCAAATCTAAGGTGATCATTTAATCAACTCATCAGACTAATACACAATTTTTCAAATATGTAAAAAAAATTTAGAATCTATTATTAATCGACATTGTAGAACAATTATGGTAACAAATATAGAGTAAAGTAAATACGCCTGAAAGAAAAATCGCATCTGTCTGATTTCACTTTGATTATTTTATACGGTTATAAACCAATATCATTTATGGAACCGATTTTGCCGCACAACAGACCAATGTTATGGCAAGGCTATGTTATAAAGAACTTTCCATACTGCCTGGTTCTAAATATTGACAAAATCCATGTGGTTGCTGTGCAATCAGGCATTTTTCTCAGTTTGTCAGATAGAAAACCTAACCTAGAAACCGCACAAATGTCAAAGAAACGATCTTAGATATCAGGTTCTTTCTGACCCAGCTTCATAACATACAGGTGACGTTGCAGTTTATGTGTAAAACGCCTGGATGCACAGCAAATACATGACATTTTGACAGTATTCAGTATGATTCGGTAGCAGAATGTATGGAAGTTGGAGCGTAACATGGCCTTGCTATAACATTGGTCTGTTATGCGGCAGCATTGTCCAATTAATTAGGTTGATGAAATCGTAATTGTGTTAATTGATAAATTTCTATTTTTTATCATTTCAGGGTGATTCTGGTGGTCCATTGGTATACGAAAGTGCAAATGGTTTGGAACAAGTCGGTATAGTTTCCTGGGTTTATGAATACTGTGCTTTGGGTGTGCCAGATGTCTACGTTCGTGTATATTACTACTTGGACTGGATTCACGAAAATACCGACCATGTTTTGCAATAAATATATAACTCATGAAATAGATTTGTAAATTGTTATAAATAGATAAATATTTTAAATAAATAAATTTTCTGCTATTAAAACTTGATTTTGTTGTATAACAACATTGTGAAAAAAGACTTGTAGTTCAGTCTAGTTATATTTAGGGACTAATTTTGCCTCAAAATAGATCAATTTACGAAGAGGCTATGTGACTCTGACGCAGCGCTTCACATACAAAATGGTACTAAATACTGCAAAAATCTTATGTGGTTGCTGCGCACTCAGAAGTTTCAGATAAAAAACCTATTCTAAAAAACAAATGTCAAAAAAAATCTAATCATAAGTGCGTCTTTGTGATGTGGCTTGATAACGTACGACTGAAGTTGCATTTTACGTGCAAAACGCCTGATCGCACAGCAAATTCATAGCATTTTGACAATATTTAGAACCATTATGTATAAGAAGTATCAATGTAACATAGCCTTTACGTAAATTGATCTATTTTGCGTTAGAATTGGTCTCTTAGTTTATCGAGGGTAGTTATAGTTTACAAAGAGTTTTTTCAGTTCTTAAATCATATGTGTTGAATCAAGGGTTGCCTTTGCAATGCTTCATTAATTTAGAATCAATTAAGATGCAGAAAAGCCATTAAGTAAATACATAATATTTCAATTAATTTAGCATCAATTAAAATGCAGAAAAGCCACTAGATAAATACAAGATATAAGTTATAGTAATCGTCCAAAAATCGAAAATGAATTGTTTTGCATATATTTACGTTTTAGAGGTTTCTGAACCTTTTGGCATACCTCAGAAAAAATGGATTTGTGTGTGTGTGAGTGTTTGTGTGCGTGTATGTGTGTGTATGTGTGTGTGTATTTGTGGATATAATTTTTCGTCGACAATTTCGGGCGTACGGATTAACCGATTTGATTCCTATTGATGAGGAGATGTGCTGATTAGTTTTTGACGAAGACAGATCCAGCGGCTTCAGAGATATGAAGCAAAAAGTGCTAAAAATGTCAGTTTTTAAGAGAATGGATCGACCGATTTAAATGATTCAAAAAACATTCGATTCATATTGACGTGGAGATGTGCTGGTTAGTTTTGGCAAACACAGGTCCAGCCGTTTCGGAGAAACGGAGCAAAAAGTGCTAAGATTTCGGTTTTTGAAAAAATGCAGCGTCCGATTCGAATGATACAAAAAAGACTTTGCTTGTATTGTGAATATGGAAAAAACTATCAGTTTTTTGGAAAAGCAAAAGTAAAAGTATCAAAATTTCAAAAAAAACATTTTTAAATACTTTTTTTTAATTTTGGATTTTAATTATAATTCTAGCTAAAAACTGAAACTCACTTCTTTACTTGAAATAAATAACTTTAACTTTACAAATCAGTATATATATATTCTTAGACAAATAAAATAAGGTCTCTTTAATACTAACTCCGCTTGTTATATTTTTTTAATTTTCATGGGAACATATATAAACGTCGTCGTGCAATGTATAAGCTGTTATAATTTGTCCATAAAATACGAATAATGAAAGTTATAGTATATATATTGACCTATTTGAAAACATTTAAAATTTTTTGACTATTTCATTACGGTACGGGAAGTTCCAGCAAATTTGCCTTAAATTTGCACCAGTAGTTGGAAATTGCTTTATGCAATATATCAATTTGACAATTTTATTGCTTAATATTGTTGTCAATACATAATTCGTCTTTACCCTAATGTGTATTTAATAATTAACTCATACGTCTTTATAAATTATTTCTCAAGAAAATTCGATATACATACCAATTTTAAGTATCCTCTACCTCAAAATTTGGCCAAGATATCATTAAAAATATGCCAAAGTGATTCTTAAGAAAAACTTATTATTATAATAGGTTCTGTAAAAACTGATCTGCGTAATATAAATAGTCTAATTTCTTTATTGTAATACCTCGTACAATCACTTCCAGTACTTGAAAAACGCATTAAATTATGCAGATATTGCTAAGATAACATGTATTTGAATCACTAATAATATTAATAAGAAAAAATTAATAAGAGAAATATGCAAGATTACAGAAAGAAAGAGATAAAAATCATATTATTACTCATTACAATAGATTGAATGCGGCGATAGACAGGTAAATTGCAGGCGAATTTCTTATAAATATCAGTTGGACAGTGAATCTCATTGAGAACGCATGTGTTGCACTCTTTTTTGATATTAAGTTACAAATGTGGTTAATATTATGTTTGTTCAAATAGTTTTTCTGATAATAATTGCAATCGGAAACTGTAAGTACTTAAATATAATCAATAGATATTATTAAACTGAAGTACCTATTATGAATAATTTCTAATTGCAAGATCTAGAACAAAAAGTTGTATAGCTTTGTTTGGTTTTTTCATTGATAAACTATCTTAAAATATTTTTAACATATTATTTTAACGATATTTTCAATATGTTAAAAAGTTTTAATCACATATAAACTATGATCGATAAATGTTCTCGAACAATGTGAGTGAAATGAACAGATTTATCAAAACAATTATTGCTTTATTAGAAGAGTTTGATTAGGTTATCATAAAATGAACAATATTAAAAAAAATAAAGTGCCAAATAAAGCATTTTTAGATTCATTTCACTATTCACCAATACTACCCATAAATATAAAATTTTATCTTTCGATAATAATATAATTTCATTATAATGTCCTAAATTTTTTACTTCAATGATATATTTAATTTACTCTCAATTGACTACTGTAATAAAATTTTAGTGTATAAATATGAAATCATAATTCCCAAGGGTAGTATTTAGATTTATTTTAATACTTTTATTACTTAACAAAAATTAATTATATATTTCCACTGGTGAATGTTCTCAAACAATGTAAGTGAAATGTGCCAATTTATCATAAAAAATTATTTACAATTCATGTATTATCAATTACTAAAGAAAGAGAGTTAGGTTGGGTTATCAAAAAAACAAACAATATTAAAAATACAAAGTGCAAATGATTTTTTTAATTCATTTTACTGTTTTGATACAAATGTAACAGTAGTGTAATTTCATTTTAATATTATAAATGTATTCAATATTTTATTTTCAGAGTATTCTTAAAATTACTGTGTATTGCAAGGAGTTTCTCAATAATAAAATGTTAGTATATGTATATAGAATAATAATTCGTATTGGAGGTAGTGTTCAGTAGCATTTGATAATTTTAATTTTCCAAATAAATGACTGATGAATAATTGTATAATCTTATCTACTAAAGTGAAATTATGTCCAGATATATCAAAACAATTTATTTACAATTAATACTGTGCATCATTGTGTAGGTTCAAATATTTTAGAAAATTCAATATAAATGTCTTGAGGCAAATTGCGTGAGCTTGCTGATATGTGTGAATAATCGACTTATGAAAATTGTGAGATTGTGACTATTTATTTTCTAAATGTTATCTTTCAAACACATTTTTAATATATGTAATCGTATTAATTATAGTGCACAAACATACATTTGTATGTCCTAAATGCGCAACTCACGTGAGCAATTTTTAAGGATTTTTGGACCCCCCCTCCCCGGTGGTGATACATAGTAATATTCAAAATTACTCCCCCTACGCCACATGTTACGTGTATTTTTAGTACCTAGAACAAATTGTAATTTTTTTTTTTTGTAAAATTTCAGATTTTTCTTAACTTGAGGAGAAACAATAAATACTAGATCTTAGTATAGTATAGTATCTAGTCTTACTAGATTCCCTCCTCCCCTGGGTAATATTTGGTAATTTTTTGTCAAACGCCCCTTCCCCCTTAAAGCTCATGTGATTAATGGACGCCCCCTTATTCCAAACTTTAATGATTTTTTATGGGTGTTTGACAAAAAAAAAATCACAATATCACGTGGCGGAGGAAGGGTATAGTAAAATATCACGTGTATTTATTTTTTACCTGAATTTTTAAAAATAATCCAAACATTTTCCAAAACAATTCAAAAATTTTACAATCTTTTCTAGTAACTAAAAATAAAGTTTATGTTTGGTGGGAGAGAGGGCGTTAATTATAACCAAGGGGGTGTCCATTAATCACGTGAGGTTTTTAGGCGGAGGGGACGTCTGACAAAAAAATCACGAAATATCACGTGAGGAAGGCATTTTTTAACTGATTTTTTAAAAAAAAATTCAAACATTTTCAAAAATGAATCAAAAATTTTACAGTTCTATCATGTAACTAAAAATACACGTAATGTTTGCTGGGGGAGGGGGAGTAATTTTGAATATCACCATGTATCACCAAGGGGGAGGAGGGGTCCAAAAATCCTTAAAAAATCGCTCACGTGATTAATGGACGCCCCCAAGCTATAGGGGTAGTTAATTATAACCAAATAGGAGAAGGGGTCCAAAAACGCTTAAAAAATCGATCACGTGATTCATGGACGCCCCCTTAATTTTTCAAAATCAGGTCGAAATATTTTGTGAAAACATGTGGATACCTAAATTTGCATTTTTCTGCTAATTCTAAAGAAACTGCTTGGCCGTTTGTCGCGAAAAACGAATCAACTCGAGTCCTTATCGAGTTTGTTTTATTGAATTAAATGGCTATTAAATTTTTGAAATCGGTGCAGCCGTTTTCAAGAAAATGGTGATGTACACATATACAAACATATACATGTACACATATGCTTTTCCAATTTTAGTCTCAAACGATTCAGAATTATTTGAACCGTCGAAAAACATAAAATGAGCAAGACAGATTTTCTAGCGAAAATTTGGGAAAAGTTAGTAACAAGTTTGAATAACCAGAATCCAATTATTTATTTAAGCTATAATTTTTATGAATGACTTCTAAAAGCTGTATATCTTGATTTAATATTTTATTTCCACATACACACACTAGTATGTATATGACCATGTAACTTTCAATAATTTGCAACATTTTTTTCCGGCAGGTGAGAAAATCTGCGAGAAAATGATCGGTGGACACAACGCAGCTCTTGGTGAATTTCCCCACCAGGTGTCAATCAGATATGAAGGCAGACACATTTGCGGCGGAGCAATTATTCACAATGACTACATTTTGACGGCAGCCCACTGTTTTGATAAAAAGTATAAATAGAAGCTAATTGATTGCGTTGATTTCTATATAATTAATCTATGGGCGACATTGATAAGATCAAACGCAGTACAAAATATTGCGAAATAATTCATTATTTATATTGTTATAATAGTACTGAAATAAATCGTGATAGTACTGAAATATTTCATATACTGCATATTATAAAGTCAAGTTTTACTAGGTGTAAGTGGTATTTTGCTTTAAGCAAATTGTACAAACATTACGATCTGTGTAAGTGTAATCGACTTAATCAATAAGAATTAAAGTTCGTGAAAAAAACATTTAACACTTAATTACGAAGAAATAAACCCGCCCATTTTCGAACTCATCAATGAGATACATTCAGAACACTTGGCAAAAAAAATTGTACTTATCTCTTTAATTATAAAAAAAAACTAATATGAATGAACTTATAAAATCGGTGCAGCCAGTTTAAAAATAAAGTTTACAAACATCCAATTTTAGCTCACATAAACACACACTTTTTCCAATTTAGGTGCCACACGATTAAGAATAACTTACAACGTCGAGAGAACATAAAATTATCAAACCGGATTTTCTGTTAAAGCATAAACATCTCCTTTGGGACGTTAATAAAAAGTTAATTGTGATTTATAGTAGAAAATTTTATAAAATTCGGTTGAGAAAGAAAATAGTAAAATATCAGTTCGGTATCTAAATTTGCACCTTGCTTTAAAACCAAACAAAATATGAGATTTTAAAAATTTTAGAAAAAAAATGATTCAAACAAAAAATGAATTAACTTAAAAAGTGTATAAATATTAAAGACTAGAGTTTATATATTTTGTAAGATTTTGAGAAATTGGTATAGTTAATTTTGTTTGAGGTTAAAATTAAAAGTTGTTATTACCATAGATAAATAAGTATAAATGGTTATTACCTACTCAAAAGACCAATATTTTTTATACATTTGCAGTAATCCTGATAAATTGACTGTTGTAACTGGCACGATAAATCTAACCAGAGGTGGTGAGGAACACCAAATAGAAAAAATTATCAAGCACAATTTTTCAGAAAAAACAAAGGAAAATGACATTGCTGTTGTGAAGGTGAGTAATGCATATTTATAAAAAGGTAGTCATTAAATGAATTAATTAAACCATAAACGAGATTATTTGTATAAAATATTATAAAATATGCAATCAAAGTATGTATTTGAATGAACCAAATCTATTACATTTTAGCTTCAAAACTCAATAAAGTTCAACCAATTTCAAAAACCAATCGCCTTACCAAGGAAACGACCAAAGGGAAATACCCTAAGCATAGTAACAGGATGGGGAAAGCATGTGGTATACATTTTCTATATTATTTTTTTTTATTAAATTCCTATGATTACATAAACACTTCTTAATATAAATATCTGTGTATTTTCAACTTCAAGTATCCTGGAAAAGCACATCCAAACAATTTGCAAAAAATGGAAGTCTACACAATGACTGATGAAGAATGCCGAAATGTGTTTGGCACCCAGGATACATTATGCCAGGAATGATGTGTGCCATTAAATCAAAATCAGGTGTATGCAAAGTAAGTGAATTTTGAATCAGTTAAGTGCCTCAAATAAAGTATATTAGAGTAACACAGAGCTTCTATGAATCATTCAAACCGGTTGAGCAGGTATACTCAACTTATACTTTGGTTTACACACATTATTTGTTCTGTAGTATGCCAAACTGCTCAGAAATCTTTACAAGTTGGAGATATGCAAAAAATTGTTGAAGGGTTACAATAATTTTTCCTGATTAATCAGCAATTACTTCATTTCTCTAATGAAGGTTTATTTCTAAAAGATAATTACAATGACAAACCGATCATGTCATATTTGAAGTATGGCTTTAATTACATTATTGTTTTCAAGTATTATAAATATTTTTAATGCTAATATAAATATATAATTTATAATTTATCATTATATAAATGTGTATAATGGTTGCTACTAACAAATGTGTGCATCACGAGTGTTACCATATTACTAATAAACATTATTCAAAATTGTTATATGATATATTTATTTTCACTTAAATGCCATCTTGTACAGTAGCAAATAAGTTTTACCTCAATCGCGTGTGAACCTTACGCGCACTCTTTTTTCCTTGTTTTTATTTTGGAAAAATAATATTTATGATTTATTTCACAAGGGAGATTCTGGAGGACCACTTTTCATACAAAAAAGCAATGGATTTAAATACGAAATCATCGGCATTGTCTCTTGGATGTCAAAAACATGTGCAAGTGGAAAACCCGATGTATACACGTCTGTCTTCTACTATCTCGAATGGATCAAAAATGCGACTAATGGAGCAATTTATTAAGCTTTATTCTAGTTTATTAACTATATATTTTATAAGAATTGAAAACAATTACTATATTCATTCAAAAATCTAAATATATTATAATTTCATAAGTTATTTTATTCATATTAGTATGGACTTGTTAACTTACAGAAAACTACTATAAAATGTTGGAAAGAAAATCGACACGATCTAATTGTAAGTCAAGATTGGTATTTGAAAAAAATTAAATTTAAATCTCAATTTCATTTATCCCAAGAATTCATTTTAGTTTTACATTATAATTATCAAAAAGTCGTTATAATTTATCTAACAAATGTAAAATCAACTATGTCATTATGTATAAAACAGTTGTAAGTTGCAAATGAATATAATAAGAAATGTAAAAATTTAATATGAATAAATCCGTTCAAATATATTATAAATAAATTTAATTTGAGAACACTTCCACTTATTAACCATGTTTGTATCAAACTAATTATTTTTAATTTTAGTTAAAATGCAACGTATTGTTTATTTTTCACTTATATAATACATTGATAAAATAGCTTTGATTTCGATAGATACTGGAATCACGTAATTCTGCGATTTAAAATGACCTCATATCGATACCGATTACATGTTTTAATATCAAAGGTAGTTTTATTATGAAAAATAAACGACATAGATCTTGAAACTTATCATTTGCAGTCATTCTACAAATTATTTTAGTAATAGACACAGAAACACATTTTATTTATTAACAGAACTACAGAGTCAACCACGGAAAATAATTTTAGAAACATCTCTAACCACAAGTGTAAATTTGTATACAAGTATATGACTGATGTACTTATATACAAAGTCAAAAAAAAAGTGGAAACTTAATATCACACTGCTTGATATCTAGCTGGCCTAGTTACTCGGCAGTATCATTTCCAATCAATACCTTTCGAACAGTTTTTTATTTTAAAATCGATTCGGTAGTATGAGCTTAAATGTGGACAAAAAGTTTAACACTTTTTTCCATATGGCAAATAAACAGCTTAGCAGATCGCCGCACAAAACTGACAAACGATAGTCTTCATCGAGATACATAAAATGGCTTTTAAATTTCTGAAATCGGCTCAGGCGTTTTTGACAAAACGTCGATGAAAGGTCTAATTTTGACAAATGCCAGAAAAACGATACCAATTTTTGCAAACTTTGACGAATTTTTAAAATCTCTTTCACATACACATACACACACACATACTTTTTCCAAATTTGGTCTCATTCGATTCAGAATGGCTTGAAACGTCGAAGTTATTATAATAACTTCCCGAAGGAGAAGTTTATGTTTTCATCAAAAAATCCGATTCGCTAATTTTATGTTTTCTCGATTCGCTAATTTTATGTTTGAAGTTTACTATTATAATTAGTAAACTTCAAATAACCAAAATTAGTATTATTTTTCATTTCAAATTCTGTTAATATTACCAACCAGAAATTATCGTACAACCAGTAAGCCTTCTTATTTTGCATAATTTATTTCACAATGCATCACAGTTTAACAATGCAAGATTATCCAAAATCATTGGATTACATATATCAAGTAAATCAAAATCAACAAATATCATAAACAAACCAATTCATTATGAAGCAAAAAATACGATAAGATTAAAACGCGATTTATATAAAAACCCAGAGGTTTTGGTTACGTTGTCATTAGTGAAAAATGTTGCTATTAGTTCTCATTGCAGTTATTGGAAGCGCCCTGGGTAAGTTGATAATATTATATAATTGTAATAAAAATAAATGTTTTATGTAAATTTGGACATCAATCAGAACTATGTGTTCAACGAGCTATTGCGATGTGATTCCTTAAACCATAGGCTTCCAAACCTGTTTGTATCGTGGACCCGTTTAACTTTGCCATGGACCCCTTATTTAGTCGATATCGATTTTTTTTTATAAATTTTTATTTGTACCAATGTTTAGTATTAAACATTAAAAGTAAAGATACTAATTCAGTTGAGACAATAATTAATTGACTTCATAATAATAATAATATAGATATTAACAAGGTATACTGTGATCCACTATTGTGGATCTCAATAGTTCCTTTAACTTAGGATTTTACCATTATCTTTCTTAAATTTATACTTTCAATGAGAAAAATGAATAGCAATTTTCCGCCGTCCCGGATTAGCCCAACTTCAAAGTTACCGTTCCGAATTTGAAATTAAAAATATGGTAACCTGATACCAACTGTTACCAAAGTTTTCATAATGTTACAAATTCAACAAAAAAATAAACTTATATTATAACTTACCTTTGTTACATGCAGGCGGCGTGGACGAGAGAATTATTGGAGGAGTTCCTGCTGCAGTCGGAGAATTTCCTCACCAGATTTCCCTTCGGTACAGACAGTACCACACATGTGGAGGCTCTATTTTGAATCCTTCTTACATATTAACGGCTGCCCATTGCGTTGAGGGCAGGTAATAATGAATTTTGTAGAAGAATCTGAAACAAAATAATATTTTTATGAAAAAACAATAGATGGTTCAAATTAACAAGCAATCTTTAGGGTGGGTCACTATAAGTGGAAGCGCTATTTAAAGTGGAAACTTTTTTAGGAAACACGTGTCTTCATTTTAACATACCTCCTTGAACCAAAGTAAATTATAACCGAAATGAAAATAAATCATGTTTTTTCATATTTTTGCTTTCACAATGCTTTCACTTTAAATGACCTACCATATATAAACATAGAAAATTTCTACAATATTTAAATTAATATTTTTCAGGGCATATCCTCCTGATTTCACAGTCGTCACTGGTTCCATTCAATTATTAGCTGGAGGGCAATCACATGCAGTACAATCGATCGTATTCCATGAAAAATTTGCCCAAAGCCACTTGAACAATGATGTTGCAATTATCAAGGTAAAGATTAAAAATAAAATTTGTTAGGAAACAAATTATATGTCCATATCAGAGCTATAAATTTCTGCAATATTATAGGGATTGTTTTCGCGTTTAACATCAATTAGTGTTTATTAGCCATTATTTATTTATTTATTTATTTATTTATTTATTTATTCATTCAACGCCCAAGACAATAATTATTAGAGAAATTGTGTTAATTAGAAAAAAATCGCGTTCTTATACATGTTCAATTATAGTAAAATGAATTTAAGCGAATGTTGTTGCCTAAGTCACCAACAAAAATGTAAGAAATGGAACAGATGTTCTCGATGTCAGTAATAATTTCATGTTTTCCATTTTTTGCACTAGTTTTAATGATTGCTGCTGATAAGAATCAACCAAAATTATGCTCTTTTGCAGCTTCAAAGACCAATGACATTCAACCAATATCAAAAACCAATTCGTCTACCAAACTCCGATACTCCTTCTGGTGTATTGCTGACAGTTTCAGGATGGGGTCTTACTGCTGTAAGTATGAAAACAGGGTTGTTAAAATACAAATATGTATGCATTATTTTTCCCTAAAATAAAAAATAACACATACATAATGAAAAATGATTCAATTAGGCCACGATATTTATTTAGAAAATAACAGGGCAGTATCAAAATCTCTCATTCTCACAGAATTGTGGAGACTTGACTAGCAAATAAGTACTATTTTTTAATGTTTTAGTATCCAAGTAATACATCGCCAAACTATCTCCAAAAAATGCTGGTCAACTCTTGGAGTAATGCCGAATGCCAAAGATGGCACGACTACGGACCAGGAGGTAGAGCAATAGATACCATTTATCCAGGAATGTTGTGCGCATTTAACAGAGATTACATATTGGAATTTGTAAGGTAAGTACAGTAAAGCTGAATATTTTTATAATGGCATCAAAATTTTATTATGTTTCTTATGATAAAGGGTGACTCGGGTGGTCCATTGGTGGTATACGACAATGAAGGACCTGTGCAAGTTGGTGTTGTTTTTGGGTTTGGAGGTATTGTGCTCAAGGTGTACCTGATGTATATGCCAGAGTACATTACTACTTAGATTGGATTCATGAACATACTAATAACGAATTACTTTAATATACTAGATCAAATTTTGTTTTAATTATTTAAATCTTGTGATAATAAAAATTATATAAAATTTTGATACAAATTGAATAAACTCTAAAAACATTTTAACGCTTTTTTTTTTTTAATTAGCTGTTCTAACCCTAAGGCGGCCTCCAATAATCATGTGATCGATTTTTAAGGTTTTGGACTCACCAAAAACATCACAAATATTTTTAGTTAAGAGAAAATATTGTTTTATTTCGAGAAAAATTTGCAAGGTTTTTTTATTATTATTATCACTTATCATTCGCATTTTCATGTTAATACTTAACCGGATTATGATTAACACCGACTTATAACACTTAAGAACAGAATAAAACTTCTGTTAGAGCATTTATATTTTATTCAATTTCAACATTATTGTTCATAATCGTAATATAAAATATACATTCATATAAAATATATTAATTTAATAACACCAAATTACTTAATGTATCTAAAATAAAGTATCATTAAAATAAAATATTATAAAAATAAGTATTACCACTATTATCACTATTCCAGCAATTCCAACACTTTCACCATTTCGGGTCGTTGATTTGGAATTCTATTCACACATATTAGTCCCAATTTAATAAGTTCAGCAAAATATTTTTTGCTTCATGTGAAGATGAATCTTCAGATCTAAGATCTTGGAGAGCATCTATAAAGCCAAATAAATAATATATACATTTATATAATTGATTTGTACCATACAAATAAATATATATATATATATATAGATATATATTTATTTATATTTATAGAACATTGTATTGAATTAATTTGAATAAAAATTACCTAGCT